TTCTGGTCCGCTTTTCCGGCAACACAGAAAGGAGAATTCTACTCAGTGAGGGTTATAATCCATAAGCGCGGCCGAAGGCCGCCTACGCAGAAAGAAGTTCGTTTTCATGTATGCACTATTTTTTTTTTTTTTGTCATATGCATTATTTCGGTTTTGAACCGAAACTGTGCATGTTCGGTTTTTGTCATATGCGTTATTTCGGTTTTCAAACGAAAGAGTGCATATGCATAATTTCGGTTTCTCTAATATGCATTATTGCGATTTTCAACCGAAACTGTGCATATATGCATTATTTCGGTTTTTTTCATATGCATTATTTCGTATGCACAGTTTCCATATGCACAATTTCAGGCTGCCTTTAAAATCATATAAAACTGAAAATGATAATATATGAAATTGGTTAAAATGTTTGTTGTTTGAGAAATGAGAATGTGTGTTTGAGTTTGTGTGTAAAATGTAAAATGCTTGAAAACGTTAAAAATGCTTTCAGCGGTTCTACCTTCCCATATTTTTACCATGGTTTTTGGTACTAACACTTCAAAATTTGGGCTTGTCGTGATGCAATCACAACCGCAGTGTTGCGCGAATTATTAAAGTATCACGTTCGGTGTGAATTTCTAGCTACGTTTTATCAGTTGGGAAGTTGCAACAGTATTGCAAAATTTTGATCAGTGCTGCAGTATTGCCGCCGTACCTCGAACGGGCCCTTTGTATTGAAGGTGTTTTTAATACATCCTACCGAAATCTGCTAAAAACGCAGTTTCGAAAAAAGTGTTGGTTAAGACCTTTGTGAATTACACCCTGCCAGCATTCTCTATTACAGAAGTTACTAATTCGACACGACATTTCTGCGAAAATCATCGCCGACGATGTCGCTATTTTATCAAATTCTTATCCGCTCTTAGACGATACGAAAGCGATACAGCAATTAGAAACTATTCCGATAGGAACGATAGTAACTTGTGCGATAAAGTCTGAAGTGTTAAAGGTTCTTTAGTTGGTTTAATTTTTGATAACCAACCACACGGCAACCACAGCCGCAGAGTTACTGACCCCATTTCCATCCTGCTTTCGGCTTAGATTACAAGCTCAAGCGCTCCCATATTTTATGAAATTCCAACTAAACATTTTAAAAAGCAGTTCCAAAACTTCATAGTAAAAAGGCATCAACATAATAAATCAAATAACGCATCTGTTTAAAATTAAACGTAATTCCATGAAAGAAGTTAGTTTCACTTTGATCCTTTTTTTGTATCATGCGTAATTATATTATTTGTTATTCGAATATGATGGCTTGCATGATAAAAACATTATAATGTGTATAAAATACACATTGCTTGCACGTTAATTGAAAATAAAATAAAAAGTATCATTTTACTCGAATGAACTTCCAAGATTTGCTTTGGAAACTTTCAAATTTCAAGGGGTAAAAATCGTCCGAGCACCTGTTAAGATAGAAAAGCGTCAGAAATGATTTTTGATTTTGTGAAATGAATTACTATCGCTTTGATAACTTCCCACAGTATAACTTCCAATAGTGACGAAGGAGCGACATCGTGGCGATAAGCGATAAAATTCTCTTTCATTTGCTGGCAGGGAAGTAACGATATGTACATATGTATTTGAATAACATTGTACCTATAAAGATAGGGTTTAAAAGGACGTTAATAAAAGATATTAGTAATAATATCAACATAAGTAATGTTGCACTATCACTGGTCAATAGTATAAACAGTGCACTCCAACTCTGGTACGCAGGAAGTATATAAAATAAATTCAATATTAAAATTAGATAATTCATAACCACATAAAGTATTTTTGTTTTTGTATATTTAATGTAAATGTAAACTTCAATAAATTCAATTCATTTTAATTTACAATTTTGCAAAATTCTATGCATATATTTTTGTATACATACATATACATATAAACCATTGTTATAATCAATACTTTTGAAATATGTGGTATAATTGAAAACAGCGCTAATTATCGTATTCACTAAATCATTTTGCGAACAAAAAATTCATTTCAGAACGAATATACATACATATGCACACATACATTATTGGAATAATACGAATACGATTGTGTGCATGTATTAATACATAGTTTATATTTTTCCAAGCTCATATGTGAAGTTTAGGCCGTCTTACCCAGTGGGATGGGATTCTGTTTCAAATGTAGGTATATAGACCGCATGCGTGAGATATCCTTGCCTGATTTGTTCACTTTTGGGTTGAAATCGCATAATTTTGCAATGCGCTCCCACTCGGTTCCCGGTTCCATGGGTCCACCATTTTCAAGCGCCGCTGCCTGCTTTTCAGCGTTGCGTGAGGCCGCTTTGGTTTTAGCGATAGATTCTTCTGTTTGACGCAACCAATCTTCCAATTCCTGCTTCGCCTGCAGACGCAACTCTTCTTTTTTACGTTCTTCTTCCCTATCTTTTTCTTCGAGACGTTGTTTTTGTTCCTCTCGCCATTTTCTTATTTTCTCAGGTTCAACGCGAGAAGGTGGTGGTCCCGATATACCGACTGGTTCATTTGATTCACCACCAATCATTTCAAAGCTACCGGTAGATGAACCAAGTCCGCCGCCAACCGCATTAGGTGCAAGTTCATCGCTGCCAAGTAGTCCATTGCCACCATCTGTGCTGGCCGGTGCACTGGGAGCAGTATTTGATGGAGGTACGATTTCCGATTCGAGGTCACCGAGAACGGATTGTTCACGTGCCAGAAACTCGGCTGCGGGATCAACTTCCTCTTTGGGGGCAAAATCATCGCCGAAATCCATTGTGCAAAGAATATTGGTAGCAATCACTGCGAAATTAAGAGAACTTAAATTGGGGCGTATTGCTTATTATTTACACGTCGACAGATTTGAGACTGCCTTGCTTTCAAATTCAGCGCAAATGCGTCACTCGTGAAATAATTTATAAGGGGATATTTACCTCAAAATTTCGTTCTTTTCAGATTTTTTATTTTTTTAACAAGTTGAGTCAGCACAATTCACACAAAAAATAAACTTGCAGCAATTTTTTCCCAATCAAACTGTAAAATTCGTTCTTCTTCTTTAACAAAGAACTGTCAATGAAAAATTTCTATTCCGAAACTGTGCGAACGGGACAACACCTGCCGATAAACCTGTAGAAATCGAACAATGCTTGGCAATGGCGGACGATAAGGAAATGGAATAGCAAATGGGGAAAAATGGCACACTCCCAACAAATTCCTTGTCCCTTGCTGAAGGATTGGTTTTAAAGGCAATATAACGATCCCAACCCAAGTCACCAAAAAACTAAGATATGGCTTACCTTAAAATAACTATTACGTTCACAAACTTTATCTAAAAAAAATTACACTCCCAAGGCGTCCAAGGCAATTAGTTGGTCAAGAAATAAAAAAGCGCGGCAAAACAATAGGATTTTGACAGCCTTATTGCAATTAACAGCTGATGTTGCATTAACAGGAAGACCCAGAATTTTAAGAACCTGCCTATTCATTTGATTATAACGAGTTTACATACACATTCTTTATTCAAATTGCAGCGTTTTTGCTGCATTTAAAATTCAACATTTAGCACTTTCGAACATATATTTTCGAAAAGCGTTCATGCTATCGCATTTACCAAATGTATTTACGCGAGTTCGAAATCGTATGCTTTTGACAAACAGTCGCGTTTCAGTCGCTTATTCAGATCCGTATCTACAAAGAACGTGAATCTATTACTACGTTTATACGCACGTATTATTTGCAAATAACAATTTGCAAAATGGTAAACTTTGCCGTATAAACGCTGAGTTAATTTTTTATTTGCAAATAACTAAGGGCCGGTTACTCAATGTCTGGCTAACACTAATCTGCGGTTAAACATAGTTATCGACGTTACCGACTCCCTCTTGTATGCATGGAGTCGAAAGGCTCTGTTATGCATACTTGGCATTGCTTGAGAGTTGTCACATAAGGAATCTGTTAAATGAGCTTCGCGTGTAAGCGGTTACCCAACGCACAGCATTACATACGTAAAAGTCTGTTGGTTTTTGATTTCTACGTAAAAATGGTATAGCAGTGCATGCAATGCCAAGTATGCATAACAGAGCCTGAAGACTTCGATAATGATGTTTAACCGCAGATTAGTGTTAACCAGACATTGAGTAACCGACCCTAAATCACGCAAATAAGTACTGATTAGTGGTACTATTTGCAAATAAGCGCAAGACGCCGCCATTATTAGGTTTACTTTCTTTTTCGATGGTCATCTTATTGCCTTTTTTTAATCAAGACGTTGCCATTTTTAACTTTATTTTCCTTTTCGATGGTCATATTATTGCCTTTTTAAACGGTTTTATTTAGCTCACCCCGTTTGTTTTATTCTTGGGTCAAATTTAGTAATTCAAATTTCACCCTCTTCCTGTCAACCGATTAATCTGAAATTTTGTATACACTTTGGATTTTGGTGACAATGGCCCGTAGTCATAGTCAAAATAAAGTCGACTTTAAAGTTAGTTGCAGCTTTTTTGACAGATATCCCATTGAAAATTATGTCAAAAAGCTGCAACTAACTTTAAAGTCGACTTTATTTTGACTATGACTACGGGCCAATACAATTATGTTTATTCATTATCATTATAAATTCAAGATGGCCGCCGCTACAAAATGGCGGATAATTTATGTTTTTTTTATGAATCCCATCAATATGGGTATCAAATGAAAGGGCTCAACAAGCAGAATACAATATACTATAAAAAATTGAAATCCAAGATGGCGGCCGCTACAAAATGGCGGATAACGTAGGTTTTATCAATCCCATCAACATGGGTATCAAATGAAAGGTCTCAACAAGTAGAATACAATTTACTATGCAAAATTGAAATCTAAGATGGCCGCCGCTACCAAATGGCTGATAACAATTTTTTATCAATCCCACCAATATGGGTATCAAATAAAAGGGCTTGACAAGAAGAATACAGTGCACTATACAACCTCAATATTTAAGATGGGCGCAGCCACTAAATGGCGTATAATAATAAGATTTAAATTTAGAAATTGAATCTGTAATTTAGGTATCTGATTAATCCAGCCTGAATCCACCACCCAAGTCAAGATTTTGTATCGTGTTGAGGACTGTGTGGCGTTAGGGTGGCTAAAAATGATACGTCGTTAGCGGTACACCACCCAAGTTAAGGTGAAAGGTTAAAACGCGCCGAGAACTGTATGGCATTAGGGTGGATAAAAATGATATGTCGTTAGCGTTTTCCCCTCAAGACTCAGGCGCATCTTGTTGTACATAGCCTTGCCCCTTTATTGGACCTCTGGGGGGGTCGACCGTTTAAATGTCCATTACTCGTGGGAACAAAATGGTAAAAAAATGAATTAAACAGAATGCGAAATAAAAACTAAAAACTAGAAAATAAAAATAGGTAAAAAAACTTTTTAAGTTAAACGGTTTTATGTTAAACATACATTGCAATGTTTAAGATAAATGTACTAAAAACCAAAAAATAATAAAATAGATACAGTCGTGGGAATTATAAACATATGCATAGACTAGACTAAAATAAAACCGGGGGGCACGTCAATTGTCTACAAATTATCGACTTAATGTGCGATAGAAGAATCGTTTAATTCGTCGTTAGGCAGTTGGCCCGAAATATATTACGAATATTTAAAAAAATCAAATTGTTGGAGTCCGGAAGTATTTTTGCGCAGAACTTCTTTCTGCGTTTAACTTAAAAAGTTTTTTTACCTATTTTTATTATAATCAGGCAATATTAAAAAAGAATTTTTCATCATCGAATAAACAGTGAGCTAGGTATTTGCAAATTATTTTTATTTCCGAATAGCTTACGTATAAACGTAGTATATAAGAAGAGAATTATAGCGCGTGTTAACATCAGGAGCGCGCCTTCTCTTTTGCCCAAATACATTTTTTGATTGGATGAAAAGAGAAGGCACGCTCCTGATGTTCACACTCGCTACAATTATAACGTGTTGTCTCTTCTTATAGATTCACGTTCTTTGGTATCTATCACGATCAATTCACACATAGAATATAATGTGCAAAAAACCCATGATGCAATAATGCAAGGTATTATCGGTTGACAGCTTCTCGCTCTAATTCCGCCATATTGACTGCCTTAGGTGAACAGTGTTACTTCTTTAACAATTCTTTGCCTAATAATATAGTTGAATATTTATTTATTTTTTCTCAGTATACACATTTTGTTTTCTTAAATAGGTATTTTATCTTGTATTATTCATTACGAATATACTATGAAAAAGCAAATTTTGTTTAGAAAAAAATATGAAATTGTATATTTTCCCCCCAAATAGGGATCAATTTCTTCCCGTTTTTCTTCTTACTCTACTTAGCTAAGGCACCTTGTATTATTGCATCATGCAAAAAACCCTACTGAAAAGGGAAAAAGAAATTCCAAACAAAAAATTCAATACAAAAACTTTAATTGTTTTAACCATAACCGAAAATTTGTTTGTGTATATATTCATTTGTCGGTGTTGTTAATTGAAATGTCCTCAATTAAATAGAAAAAAAAACAGAGTTGATCACAAAATGGGCCAGATTTCTATCAGTATCACATCGATCGGCGATCAATTCAATTCAATTCTGCTTGCATATAGAAGAGAGGGGGTGAGAAGAATGGGGACGAGTACACATGCGTCTGTACCGTCAAGTCGTTTTAACTTTCTTGCTTTGCTTTTGACAATTTCGTTATTTCTCATTTAAAGAACTAAAAACTTTAATTCAACACAATTGAAGCGTGTAAAAGCAAATAGAAAACACAATAGGGAATGAGCAAGAATTGCTTTCAGCGAAGCGCACATTAGCGCGATTCACACGTTGCGAATCCGCAGAGCTATAAATATGTTCATTCCTTATCTTTTTTGACTAGAATATGAAAAGTGTCAAAATGCCAGAGCGTAAACAAAATGCGCTCACTAACAGAGAATAACAGGAAAAGTAAAGGAACGCAACAAGGCGTATTCAATAAGATGGTATCGGCACGACAATAACAAAATGTACATGTATTTTGTTTTTGCTTTTGCGGCGAGGACTGTCAAAAATTTCATACGAAGGATGTGAAAGAGAACAGAAAACAATAAAAAATCAACTGCTCCAACCCAAGAATGATAGAATACAAGATTGCGCCGTCCTGGGCGTTGACATTTGTGTACCACAAGTAAACAAAGAATGGAGCGAAAAGAAGAACGCGTTGAAACTGCCAAAGCAGTTCACTTTACAGCGAAAAACGTGTTTTAATTTTGCTTAATGCGAAAATATTGCATTTTTCACCTAATCTATTAGAGAACAGTGAACATTTTAGCGCACTCCATTGCTTTGCAATTGAGGCTGCTTCAGCAAACGTTTAAGGGCCGGGTACTCAATGTCTGGTTAACACTAATCTCCGGTTAAACATCGTTATCGACGTTACCGACTCACTGTTGTATGCATGGAGTCGAAAACGTCGATAACGATGTTTAACCGCAGATTAGTGTTAACCAGACATTGAGTAACCGGCCCTAACTCGAACAAAATTTAAATATTTTAACGAAAGTCGGTGCCGAAGTTGCCTTTGGTATAATTTAGGTTAGTATTAAATTTTGGCGAAATCTGTTAATAACCACGACCACCTCCCATGTAGTAATCAACAATATTTTTGTTTTATTATTTTTTTTTACGAATTTCGCTGTTGAAATTTACATTTCAAATATATCGCATTTGTGGGTACTTTTGCACCAGTCATTGCCTATGGGTTAATGACAAAAGAATCCTATACATGCACAATATTTCATGTATTAATTTTTAAATAAGCATATTGTCAATGGCTGGATAACTGTATACTGTGGGTTCTACTTTGATATGTTCTTATCATGGTTATCACGACATCAGTGTTTTCCTGTAGAGACAGGGCCTTACCGAGCACCGAGTTACCTAGGACCAAGCTCGGTGTGAAGAGCCCTAATTTTTGTTATTGAACATAGCGAAAAAAAAAATGCAACGCTATGATACTGTTCGTTTTTACACATTTTGACGTTTTTCGTCATGGTTTGACTGGCAGATAATACACACTTTCGGACTAGCTAGCCTCGGCCGAATTCGGAGTGGGAATGTTTTTCTCAAAATGGCGCTCGGACTGTGTAACAACGAGTAGACAGAATAGGTGACGCGAAAAATTGAAAATTAACAACAAGAACTTGGTATTTTTGAGAAAATTATAGTTGAAAAGTGTGCATAAGGATTTATATAATATCGGTCAATTGGAGTTTAAACTGCAAACATCAAATAGCAGTGAAAATTTTAAGTTTTTACCAAAACGCAACTCAGCGAGTTGCAGGAGAACGCGACGAGTCACGCAAGGCGACAGCTTTGGGCAACGGCGCATAGAACGACCGGTCGAGCCGTTTTGCCGTGCAGCTACCACAGTCGTAATCCAGCTAGATACATAACGCAAGACAAAGTACACATTTGAGGTGCTCCATTGATTCGAATGCTGAGCGGGCGTTGGAGTAGTACGGGACAAGCAAATAAAATCCCTAAACTAGAAATTTTCGTACTGCGCGTACATTTCACCAATCGGAAGCATAGCAAGTGCGTGTAGTTGTTGTATTGTTGTGGGGAAGCGTTGAAATCCAATCGACATTGAAATATTAGATAAAGCATTATAATGCAGGTTTTACCAAGTACATATTTCAGGGGTTATACGATACATTAACACAATGTGCTTGCGATGTAAAAACTTTGTTTGAATTGTCTGATGAAGCAAATGTAGAGGTTTTTTTTTGGCGGTATACATACATGGATCATGTTTCCGTATGCAAATTTTATATTGTTTAGTTATAAAAGCTACCCCACAACATAATTATTTATTATTATGTGCTATTAAATTAATTTATCTGACGAATTTACTTTGTAGTCATCTATATATATACCGCATAAACGTTTCTTAAACAATATGGATCCCAATTCAAGTCCCTGGTCTTATGCTTATAATCGCATCGTGCCATCTGCCTCCAGTACTGGTTCTGCAGAAGATTTTCAACACCCGCACTTGGCGCCAGCACAGTCTTTGTTTCTACAAGCAGCACATTCAGGCATAGCTGCAAGCTTCAATGCCGCAGCTGCTGGCAGCGGCAGTTTTGTATCACCATCGCCTATCAGCGGATATAATCCGGTATTTCAACAAATCTACCATCATGCAGCAGCTGCTAGCGCACAACCAAAACCGGCACATTACGCTTCAAGTGCGGTCAATACGCCCGTACGTCAGATACAAATCCCATCAACGCTGGATAAACAATTGACGAATTTCCAAAATCAAGCCGCAGTTGCTGTTGTATCATCTGCTGCAGCAGCTGCTGCAAATAATGCAGCTTCTAATTATTATGGTGAAAATTCTTCGTCAAGCGGTGCATCGCCATCGCCCACAACTTCTGCTCTTACATCAACAACGCTCAGTTGGAATACGCCGATGATATCCAATACTTTTTTGGCTATGCAACAACAGCAGCAGCAACAACAGCAGCAACAGCACCAGCAGCAGCAGGCACAGCAGCAACAATTGAATTTAGTTGCGGATAAGGTGGTGAGTAGTATGTTGGACAGTTTGGCCTTAAGTCCGTATAGAAGATTTAACAATTTGGGCGATATCAGCTTTTAAAATTTGCGTATATTTTT